AGTAGGAATCTGGCCCAAAAGTGATGGACCGTTTCCTGAGGTTGCTGTCGTACATACATCAGGTCATATATGTCTGGAGGGCCTGAATTGCTTGGAGAGTATTGATTGTGGTGGGTGGGTGGGCTAAAATTTGAATCCCGACCCACATCTATGTTCAGAGCTTGCAAAATCTCTGAGGTGACCGATTCGGGCCCGGGGAGATCCAAGTGCTCCCCCAATCCTACGTCTGATCTAGAGTTCGGGGGACGCGGAGTCCCATCCGAAGGGAGGGTATCTGACTCGAGGGGTTCGGAGACCCGAACATTTTTGGTTCTCAACATAGGGAGAGAGATGTCATCGGCTCATTCCTCGATGACCGCTACCAGGTGTGTGATCGGTGGGTGATTGATTTCCCTCTTGTCAGGTTTAAGCCCAATCCAACCATAATTCGTTGAAGCCCCAAGGGCGGCGATGCGATCTAGCAGCTCGTTTAAGGACGAGATGTCTGCCGGATCCATCTTTTCGGAGTACTCGAGACCGATGAGGAGACGGTGTTCGACGATCGTAGGGGGGCGCTATTGTCTTGATGGCGATACGGGCACCTATGATGAAACCGCCGAGCTGGAGGATCTGCCCAGAAGTTAGGCTCCTTCCAGAGGTGATGTTGTCGTTGATGACTAGGCGAACCATAGATCGCTTTTTCAGGACTGCACAACAGGGCTCTCAATGAAAGCACCAATGTCGGTGTTAAAACCGACAGATCTCGGGTAAGGGACCCAAGTTGTGCATATAAGGATCAATGGTAACAATGGACAAAGGGACACAATGTTTACCCAGGTTCGGGTCCTCTTTAAGGAGGTAAAACCCTACGTCCTGCTTGACTATATTCGATGAATATAAGGGTTACAAGAGTTGATCTATCTCGAGATTGTAATGGCTAAACCCTAATTGTCTAGCCTATGAATATTATGATAGCCTCTACGGACTAAACCCTTCGGTTTATATACACATCGGAGGGGCCTAGGGTTACACCAAGTCGGTTTATAGGAGAAGGAAAGAGCATATCCGGACACCAATCTTGCTACCCACGCACACATGAGTCCTACCGGGACACGGGGGGTGGTCTTCCACTTTATCACGGCCCACCAGTCCGGCCCATATTGGATAGGCCAGACATTCGAGGACCCCCAAATCCAGGACTCCCTCAACAACCACACCACAATGGAAAAGCATTGATAGGCCAACGCCAATGTGTAGATTCCTTGTTCGTTCCACTTCCAGATTGCTTGATCATCATGCCCAGCAAATAGATCCACTGACAATAGGGCGTCCCACCATTCCTTGAGTGGATAACTCACCTCTGATGTCGGACAACCATTGGTTCAAGTGCAAACCATCAGTGACTTGCGATGGTTGATCGTTTGAGCTTTTATATGAGCAACCACAATTGGTGCGATCTCAGGATAGTAGCACCGTCGAGCCATCGATCCTTCCGAAAAACGATGTGGTCGACCGATCCCACATGCCAACGCACAAGGCTGTTGAAAGTCCCTTGAACATATGAATCGATGGCGAGGGGAAGTCTCTTCCATGGTCTCGTATCAGCAGCGCGTTGCAGCCAAGCCTAGCGTAATTGCAACGCGATCCCTTCCTTCCTAAGATCAATGATGCCTAGGCCTCCAAGTTACTTAGGACGACACACCTTATACCATGAAACTAGATCATTGATGGCGCGCGTTGCCGCGCCCATCTATTTTACACAATATTGATCCACAAATACAATGTACATAATTACATATACTATGAAACTCATACGAGTCAACATTTTGATATTTTCATAGTGTATCTGCAGTCTGTGTCGGCACCTTGTATTACGTTAGGGCTAAGCCATGTCTTATTGATCTGAAGCCATGACCCTTATCGCCAGCCTAGTCATATTGTGTAAGGGAGAGGAGAGTTGTACCTCAAGGGTAGGCATGACCAACGTGGACGTAGTGTAAAAGGGTGACATTGTCTTGAATTGAAGCACACACGTGATTCTTGTGGCGTCGCCACTGGACATGATGTCTATTCATGGTAGTCGCTGCCACTTTCCTTGAAATCAACTGAGATTGTCGTACTCTACTACGTCAACAACATCAGGTTAGTACAAAACATAAATTCCTGCACATTGTATACTATGGATCTTACATGAAATCCGACAATCTACCAGCGAGTAGTCAAACATGAGTTCCTGCTTAAAACATGAAATCCCACATCCATGATAAAAATATATTTATAATGTTAAAGAAAAGTAGTTTTCCTTTCTACTGCTCCATGGACATATAGAATATTTGCACAAGGTCACGGCCGTGTTTCTTCTCCAGCTGCAAATCTAACACCGTGAACTACGACATGAGATTCAGCAACCGATGTTCCCAAAGAGTACTCATCCCCAAATCCTACCCCAATCTCCTTACGCAAATTCTCCTCACCAGAACCGACAAAACCTGGGAGGCTGGGACTAACACCCACATACGCGTCACTGTGTCACCGGGATGAGCTGGATCACCCCTGAGAATCGTAGCCCAAACAAGCTGCTGCCACATGAACACCCGCAGCAACCTAAATTTGCGCTACAGAATAGGGAGATCGGAAGGCGCCGGAATGACCGCTATGCGAGAGTCAAGGGGATGGATGATGCTGCTTAGAGGGACTGCGATCCAGAGGGAAGGGATGTGGCAGCGGCATCTCACCTTAGGGGTTGCCTAGGTCACCCGAGGAAGGATTTGGGAAGGAACGGGTGCGGCGATGTGAAGATGGCGACAAACGACGGCGGCGCAACGGCACACCGATGGCTCATGAGGGAATCCCACCACGCGCAGAGGATTTGGGTACGATCGACGGGAGGTGGCTGTGGCATGGGAGGCGGCGGCTATGGTGATGGGGAGAGTATCCCGGTGAGATTGGTAGCACTAGATATCGTCGGATTCTCAGATCAGACGGCTCTCAACAACTCTGCAACGTTTGCAAAAAAGCCTACAAGGATTCCAAAAATCACGCACAGGTCCAGCTGATCCCACATCTCCTAGATGCCGTCCGTTTTAAGAATCCAACGGCCCAGATGCCCGTATCACGGTAGCATCTAAGTCTTGGTAGCACCAGATACTCTCCCTATTTTCCCGGTGATGGGGTCGCCTGACCAAGGTTCCCAATGGAGAGAGAGAGAGGAGAGAGGTCGTGGGTGAGGAGAGAGATGGGCTTCTTTCTGGTGAGGCTGAATCCACCGGATGGCCCAATCAACCAGCGCACCTCAATTCGGCTACGGGAGCAGCGTCCCCATAGGACAGCCAGCCCACTCGCTGCGTGACGTGCGAGACACCACGCTAATGGAGATCAGACGGCCAGAAATTGCTAGATCACAGAAATGAATGGTCCAGATGTTGATGGCCTAAGAAGATAGGGATTAGGTGCGGTTATACTGTCCTAAACTAGGCACTTGCCTCCATGTATCTCCTTTGCGGCCAACGCTCTGCATCCCTTATCCACTCCCTCGAGAGCCAATTAAACCTCGTCAACAATTGGTTGCCACTCCGAGCGAGTTAACTGCTTGATAGATAGATAAGTCCAAGGTACTTGCAAGGAAAACATTCCATGCGAAAGGGCTATTGTGATCGTACGTTTGTCCCTCTCCTCTCCACGTAGCATAACAGCAGAAGATTTTGCGAAAGGCATGAAGTCGTGCAAAAAATGTTGAGAGTTTCTCTAACGAAGCTCATGTTCGATATGGCAGGCCTCACGAAGAGAACCACGTCATCTGCGTAAATCAACAGTCGATGCATAGGAGTGCATCCATGGCTCCAAGATGATGCACTCTTACTATCATTGCAGTGAGAACATCCATGACAATTACAAATAGAAGTGGCGACAACAGGTCACCTTGACGCAACCCTCGAGCATGCATGAACTTGTGGCCACATAGCCGTTGACGACAACTCAAGATTTGTTGTCGTGAGTAAAGTGGCTACCTATGATCTCCAGACATTCGAGAAAACTTTCGCGCATAAAACTTCGAAGAGAAAGGGCCAAGCGATGGAGTCAAAGGCACACGAAATATTCAATTTGAGTAACACTCCTTTTGCCTTGTCCTTGTGCAATCTCCTCACAACTGACTGGTCATGAATTGATCGACCATGAATCAAAGCTGATTTTTTGATCTGCACCAGTTCGGCCATGCGCAGAGACAGTCTAGGAGCCATCAGTTTTGTGTAAAATTTGGGCATCTATGAAATTATCATGAATTGATATATGAGTCCTGGCAAGAAGATCAGTCATTGTTCTCAGAACCTATGTAAGAAAAATGATCGCACCTTTAAGGGTTGAATATATCATCCTTTAGATTTACCGCATTGACTTCAAGAAACAAGTATAAATCTTCAACGTGTTCAAGATATTTCTGGATAAGAGAAACAGATAAAATATGATTATTTCCTCTTGATGTAGTCCCTCCGATCGTTTTGCACGCTGCTGAGAAAACGAATACTTCATTGCTCTGAATGAGTGTTTTCACTTAGCGCACAGAATTAGCTTGGTCTCTTAGAGCATCTACAGCCGGTCCCCTCATATCCTCCTCATACGTCTGGGAGGACAGCTTGGTCATTGTCCAAGGGAGACAAACAAGGTGGCACACAAGTTAGCTGGGAATTCATATGATTCAGACCATGTAATTTTATGGGATGATGACCCTCCGCAGTTTAGCTGAACTTGTTAATGACGTAACCATGATTTGATTTGAATAGTGTGCCACAAGTTTAAAAAAACTCATTGCTCCCATGGTTGTTTTTGTACTTCGTTGTAAACAGTTCATCACATTTTTCAAGACAGTACGGAAATGCTTTTTTTTAACCAAGACGGTACGGAAACGCTAGATAAACAGTACTGGTTACGTTTTGACGTTTTCAGGCAGCAAGAAACCAGTCCACATTTTGTATTCACGACATGCCTCTGGGGTTTGGAGGTATAGGACCACTCCAGGTCCCAGATTATAGCTGAACAACCTGACTCAAAGAAGATAGCTCGCTGATCTTAGACATCATGTTCTCGTCTACCTCCAGCCTAGTTGTGAGCTTTGGAAATGAATAAGAGGGCGCAACTGCAGGGGTTGATTCTTGGTCGCTTGACTTGTTTGATGTGCCCATGGAGGAGGAAGCGATCTCCTTTCCAAACAGCTGCGCCATGATATTGAGGCAAGGCTTCAAATCATCCTCACTCTGTGCTTTTGTCAACTTACCAAGCAGCTCGTTTGTTTTCGCGTTTCTCACTGTTTGCTGTTTTATGTTCAACTTCACCGGCTTCGTATGGTCATCTAGATTTTGGTCAGAGGAGTTGTCATCCTCCTCGCAGGCACTGTTCCTCTCTTGCAGTTTCTTCAGCTTCTGGTCCAAGACAGTGGCAATCCTCTCTTTAAAGCCAGCTGCATTTGCGCAATCAGATTTTAACCTCACCTTTGCCTCAGAGACCATTATTTCCATCATTTCTTCTGAGGAAGTTGCTTCAGTTTCATGTTCACCAGCAGAATCTTCTTTGAGATAGAACGTTTCCTCCAGCAATCCAATATTCTGTGTGTACCTATCATATGCTTCATTTTCAACATCAATATCTCCTTGCATATGTTCCTTTAGCTTCATAAACCTCCACTTGTTTATGCTTGCAATGTCCTACAGCACAAGTACTGCAAGTTATTAACCACGAGAGTATAACTACTATAAATAATCAAACAGGGTGGAATAGCCAAGAACCTTCTTGGCAAGGGACTTTCTTGTTCGGATGGAATTCAGAAAATGATGGGGAAGCTTTTGTAGGGAAGACAGCCTCGACGAAGAACTACAAGAAATGACAAGCAAGCATTGGAAATAAGGACCCTTTCTTGCATAAAGATGATTTTTTACTAGTGGGGTTTCTGAAGATTACCCGGTTAAAGGTGAATTGGTTGATGGTTGGTCTGACAAAGGGATAGGAGCTGGTGGTGTCTTCTCTGGCAATGTGTTGCTCTGTTTGAGAACTGCAGTGATAAGTGGAGTAAGAAAAGATTAGTGCCAATTTTCCAAAATAAAGAGTTTAAAGATACACTACTACTACTACCTCTGTTCCTAAATATATGGCGTTTTGGCAGTTCAAATTGAACTGCCAAAACGTCATATATTTAGGAACGGAGGTAGTAATATATTTAATGCAGACATGATGCTGCACCAAAACAATGTAAAAGAAGTACTCCCTCTGTAAACTAAAACGTCTTATTAGATCACTAGTGATCTAAAACGTCTTATATTAGTTTACAGAGGGAGTAGAAACTAAGATAAATGAAGAGAGGCAGATTTAAATAGTACCATAAATAAAATACCAACAGACATAAGCAAGTGTTCTACCATAATAACTACTAAGCCTGCCAGGACTTTTCTTTGTTCGTCTTGACCGTCCTCTTCCTCTATCCTTCATTAGATAATAACTACTAAGCCTGCCAGGACTTTTCTTTGTTCGTCTTGACCGTCCTCTTCCTCTATCCTTCATTAGATAAAGAAAGGCATTGCTCCTGTTCTGGTTCCACTATATACTAATGCAAGGCCAGATCAGTAACCTGAGCAAAGTGAGACTTCTATTATGATATTAATACCAAACGCCTTTCCTAGCAAGTTTGGGAGAGACCCAAACATAACCTCAATTTTTGACCAAACGAATGGACACTTGGAAGTTGCCCATTGCCATCAAGTGTAAAATAACAAAACATCATCCCCAGGAAAGATGAATTGGCTAATAATGGCTAGCTAGCCTAGCTAAGATAGAGTGAGCTGACTTGGCTACTGAACCACACAAATTGTGAACTATGACCATCAAACAGGGAGGCTAAATGGTGAAGAAGCAGCTAGTCCAGCTAAGATACAGTCATGCGGTGCATATTGGCTAAGCATCCGAACAAAACCTGAACTATGACCATCAAACAGGTGTGGCTGAATGACGAGAGAGGCTAAGGGTGTGTTTGGTTTACAACCTATACTGATAACACCAAAAATTAGCTTCCCCGTATGATTTGGCTGCCGTTTGACCTGAGGCCAAAACTTTACCTCGCCCATCGCGCCCTGGACGTCCCCGCGCTATTTTCGCCAATTGTTGGTGCGCAGAGGGCATGGAAAAAGCCCGCGAGAAGCCGGCGAGTGTGAATACGTTTGGTGCTGTTAAAAAGGCAGGCAGATTATCCTGCTAAATTAAAGCTAACTGAATCCAAAGCGCCACGCGCTCACGCACATCTTACCTGATTAAATTGCTTGGTCGTTTCCTCCTATAATTAACTGCAGATGTTTTGCATGAGACTCGCTCGATGCCGTGCATACCCAATTTTACTAACACGTGTATTGGCTGCATGCTTCGCAGCTTCGGAGGCCTCCTCCCCTCTTAATTGATGTGATTTGTTTCCTACTTGCGCTTTCAATGCCGTGGACTTGGCCGGCTGACCCTATAATCCTTTATGTGCCTCACGTTTTGAAACCAAGCACTAATCAATCCAAGTTGCCAAACTTACGCTAACTCCAAATGGATGCCTAGCAATTTTGCCAAAATCTTGGCAGGTACAATGGCTATAATCCAAACAACAACTTACCAAATTTTTGGTTCAGCTGGTTGGGGCTCAAACCAAACACACCCGAAAACCAAAAGAAGGTCGCCATTGGGAAACTATTCCAGGCAGGCTGAGCTAAATTAGTGAGCATATACTTGGAAAGCAGCTAACTGCTCATCATCCTCACCGTGTGGTGGCTGTGGAAGACGTGCAACGCTGAATAACCCACTCACCTGTCTAACTCAGATCAACAGAGACGAGGCTAGTTCGTGGGCTCGCGCTGGAGCCACTGCTTTGGTTAACATGGTCCCCATGAGGTAGCCATTTCCTCGCCTTGTGGCAATTAGTGGTGCTCCCCGTGTCACATATGCTCAATGCTCATGTGCACGTGGAATATTTGGTTGTCATGTATTGAACCTTTCTCCTATATTTAACTGAAGTTTTTTTGCGTGAGACTCGCTCCATGCCGTGCATGCCCAATTTTACCAACACGTGTATTGCCTGCATGCTTCGCAGCTTCGAAGGCCTCCTCCCCTCCAATTGATGCGATTTGTTTCCTACTTGCGCTTTCAATGCCGTGGACTTGGCTGTCTGTACCTATAATCCTTTATGTGCCTCACTTTTAAAACCAAGCACTAATCAATCCAAGTTGTCAAACTTATGCGAACCCCAAATGGATGCCTAGCAATTTTGCCAAAATCTTGGCAGGTACAATGGCTATAATTCAAGCAACAACTTAGAGTACAAAATTTTTGGTCATGACAGGTTGGGCTAGTTGGGGCCCAAACCAAACACACACGAAAACCAAAAGGAGGACGCCATTGGGAAATTATTCCACACGCTGGGCTAAATTAGCGACTGTGCATATACTTGGAAAGCAGCTAACTGCTCATCATCCTCATTGCGTGGTGGCTGTGGAAGACGTGCAACACCGAACAACCCACACTCACCTGTCTAACTCAGATCACCAGAGACGAGGCGTTCATGGGCTCGCACTGGAGTCACTGCTTTGGTTAACATAATCCCCGAGGAGTAGCCATTTCCTCGCCTTGTGGCCGTTAGGGCTGCTCCCCGTGTCACATATACTCAATGCTCATGTGCATGTGGCATATTTGGCTATGTATTGAACCATTCTCTCCCCCCACTCCACCTCCTCAATGAAATGGTATGCAAATCTTTGTGTGTTCGCGAAAAAAACTGCTCCGGTGTGGCTAACAACAAAAAAATGCAATTTAATCTACTATCAGCAGCAGTGTTAGTGGCATTATTAGGCATACCATGAATGTGGCAAGGGTTCTGAGCTTTGTAGCAGCAGCTCTTGCAACACTGGAACGGGCACCTGAAAAGCCAACCAATGCACAAATTTCACGAACCCAGACAGATACAGAGATAAGCGCCAGCGCGAGAAACAAATCCTGCCTGAGAAGCTTGAGAAGTCCTGGTCCCCTTACCGGGAGCGGGCGACGTTGCCGCACTGGATGCACTTGGGCTTGTTGAGGCCACGGAGGTTGGGCTTGGGCATGTCGAATCCGGCGACGGGGGGCGGCTTCTGCGGCGTTCCATTACCATTGGATACCACGGGGGAAGGGGCCGGAGGAGGAGCGGAGGAGTCGCTCGCCGCCTTGCCGCTGGAGGCCGGAGACGACGCGGCCATCGAACCCTGGATTGCGCGACGGTAAGGTCCGCGTAGGCGGTGGAAGGCGTCGGTTCCGTCGAGGTGTCAGCGGCTTCTCCGGCGAGATGTCGCTGGTGGAACTGGGCTCAAATTAGATGCGGGTCGCGGCTAGGGTTTCAGTTGATAGGGGATTTTGCGAAACGGCCTTTCGACTATTGTGATATCGCAAAACTACTCACTCACCCGTTCAAATAAAAAGAAACTTACAAATTCCCTATATAACCAGGATAAAAGAATAGATATTGTCACACTATATCCCTTTTTTCGCAAAAACTTTCAATCTATTCATCTTTAAAAATGGCAGTACGGCGAACAATAAAAATAATAAAAATTACATCCAGATCTATAGACCACCTAGCGATGACTACAAGTACTGAAGCGAGCCGAAGGCGCGCTATTGTCATCGCCCCTCCCTCGATGGAGCCGGGCAAAACTTGTTGTAGTAGACAAACGTGAAGTCGTTGTGCTAAGATTCCATAGGACCAGCGCAGCAGTACAACACTCGCCATCGTTGAAGCATAGCATAGATCGAAAGGATCCAACCTAAAAACACACGAACGTAGACGAACTACGACTAGATCCGAGCAAATTCACCTAGGACAAATACGCCGGAGACACACCTCCACACGCCCATCGGCGATACTAAACGCACCACCGGGATGGTGGACTAGGCGGAAAGAACTTTATTTCATTTTACCGAAAAAGGCTTTCGCCCCGCTTTATAAATAAAGCAAACCGCCACAAGACATACAACCACAACAGGTCCACACACACACACCACCCAAGTACCACAACAAAGTATTAAGGTTCTGCTGAGGGCACAGCTCAACAAGCCCAGAAGAAAGAGAAAAATCAAAGCCTGCCCAGTGCAGGCGATCTAGTCAGGCTCCGGCGGAGGCGGCGGCGGCGGGGGCGACAGGCGGACGGCCATCGAGCGGAGATCGGCGATGAAGGCAGAGATGGCGTCCCGACCCAGGGGGCGGCTAAGCGGCCGCCAAAGCTGCAAGAAACCCGAGAATTTGTAGAGAGCATCAGTAGCGCGATGAAGAGAAGTACGCTGGATCACTAGCTTATTGCGAACGGTCCAAAGCGTTCAGGCAAGGACCCCAACCTCGAGCCACCTAATGTGGCGAGAGGACGAAGGGGACAATTGGAGTTCAGCAAATAAGGCCGCGAAATTGGTGTGGCACCAACTCCCACCGACAATCTCGCGAAAGCAGCTCCAGAGGAACCGGGCGGAGACGCAGGCGAAGAAGATGTGGTTGGAGTCCTCGGGAACAGCACAGAGGGGGCAGATACCAGTGCCCGGGCCATTACGCTTGCGGACCTCCACACCGGACGGGATCCGTCCACGGATCCACTGCCACATGAAGATGCGAATCTTCAGGGGGACGCGGACGGACCACACCATCGATAGGGGAGAGGAGCGGAGGAGGGGGCAATGGCCAAATATAGCGATTTGGTAGAGAACTGGCCCGATGGCTCCAGGTGCCAGCGCACAAGATCCTGATCCCCATCCACCACCGGCTCATGCAGAGCAACGCAGTCAAGCAACTCACGCCAGGCGGCGGATTCCGCCGGCCCAAATGGCCGACGAAAAGTGAGGCGCTCTAAGTCAAGAAGGGCCCTATCAACAGAGATCATGGGGACGACAACGATAGAGAAGAGGGTGGGGAAGCGGGCCGCAAAGGGAGAGTCGCCGCCCCAGCGATCAAACCAGAAGAGCGTCGAGAGGCCGGACCCCATCGAGATAAAGGTACCAATGCGGAGCACTGGAAGAAGCTGGACGAGGGACTGCCAGAACTGAGAACCTCCCGATTTCTGGCAGAAGGCAAGGGGTTGACCATGCAGGTACTTATTCCGGATAATGTCCAGCCAGAGGCCACCATGACCCTGCGTGATACGCCACAGCCACCGGGATAGAAGGGCAATATTCATCCATTTAGAGCACATGATGCCCAATCCACCCTGCTCCCTAGGCTTGCAGATGTCAGGCCAGCTGACCATGTGATACTTCTGCTTGCCATGCTCGCCAGCCCAGAAGAATCGGGACTGGATTTTGGCGATCTCCTTATGGAGAGATTCATGGAGGCTGTAGAAACTCATAAGAAACAAGAGGAGGCTGGAGAGGGAGGAGTTGATAAGGATAGTCCAGGCCGCCTTGGAAAGCCACCTCCCCTGCCAGGGCTCGCATCTGGTCTGGAGCTTGGTCACGGAGGGGCGTAGGTCTGCGACAGAGAGGTGCGAGTCACTAATGGGCGTCCCAAGGTAGGTAGTGGGGAAAGAGCCCATGCGGCAATTAAGTCTGTTGGCAATGGCCACAGACTCAGCGGGGGAATATCCCATCACCATAACATCGCTCTTATCGAAGTTGATCTTGAGGCCCGACATCTGTTGGAAGCAAAGAAGGAGGAACTTGAGGTTGGTGATGTCCATCTCCGAGCCTTCGACCATGATGATCGTGTCGTCAGCATACTAGAGGATGGAGATTCCCGAGCCCCCAGAGAGGTGGGGGGTAATACCTCGGATGTGGCCCGCGGCTTTAGCCTTATCGAGAATGGAGGCCAAAGCGTCCACGACCATATTGAAGAGGAACGGGGAGAAGGGGTCGCCTTGGCGCACCCCACATAGGGTAGGGAAGAAGGGACCAATCTCGCCGTTGATGCTGATCACCGTGCGACCGCAAGAGACCATTTGCATGACTCTCGTGATCCACCGGTCGTCAAAGCCCTTCCGAAGAAGGACTTCCCTAAGGAAGGACCAGCTAACCGTATCATAGGCTTTGTGAAAATCGATCTTCAGAAAGACCGCCTTCAAGCGCTTGACCCGGACCTCATGAAGAACCTCATGAAGCACCAGGACACCATCCAGGATGTACCGACCCTTAATGAAGGCTGATTGGTTAGGGTGGGTAATCCGATCTGCAAGCAGGGTCACCCTATTGGCGTACCCCTTGGCCAGGATCCGGAAGATCACGTTAATGACCGTAATCGGGCGGAACTGGCGGATGTCAGTCGCCCCAGGGACCTTGGGGATGAGGGAGATGGTCCCGAAGTTGAGGCGGCCTAGGTCAATAGATCCCACGAAGAATTCATCAAAGATGGCCATGACCTCTGGTTTAATCACGTTCCAGAAGGTCTGGAAGAAAATGACCGGAAGACCGTCCGGGCCCGGAGCAGAGGAGGAGTTCATACCCTTTATGGCCTCCCAGACCTCCTGCTCAGAGAAGGGGGCCGTCAGGGACGCGTTCTCTGCGTCAGAGACAAGTTGGGCGCCGGCCCAACAATCAGGGGCGAGGGAGATGCCGCTCCGAGGAGCGGGAGAGAAGAGGGAACGATAGAAGCCGTCGACATGGGAGCAGATGTCCCGGGGGTCCTGGAGGAGGGTTACCCCATCCCAAAGGCAGGGAATGGTGTTGCGTCTACGGCGCCCATTGGCAATCGCCTGGAAGTAAGCCGTATTTGCGTCACCCTTCAGGACCCAACGCTGAGCGCCCCGAAGGCGCCAATAGGCTTCCTCATCGGTGTAAATCACGGAGAGCTGGTCTTCGAGGTCATAGCGGGAGAGCCACTCGTCCGGGGAGAGACCCACTGCGTCAGCCCGAAAGTCGAGGGCCTGGATCGCGGTGAGCAACGCCTTCTTACGCTCCTTGGCGTCACGGCCCAGGTTGGCCCCCTAGCCCTTCATAAATTGTCGGCCACGCTTCGCACAGAAGTGCCACGCGTCAATAGCAGAAGGGGGGCGAGGGTGGGGGTGGGCCCGAGCCTCGATCCACCGAGCACAGACGGCGTCGGTAAACCCGGCCTGGGAAAGCCAGAAGGTCTCAAACCGGAACCGAGGGGGGATCGGCGGACGCTCGTCCGCGGAGGAGAGGAGCAAGGGGACGTGGTCGGAACCAATCCGGGTGATGGCGCGAAGAGAGGCTAGGGGGCATCGGAGGTCCCATTCCGGGGAAACTAGGACCCTGTCCAAGACGGACAGGGTCGGGGAGGCTTGTCGGTTGGTCCAAGTAAAATGGGCCCCAACCCGATCAATCTCCCGGAGGGCGAGGTCGGCAATGAAGTCGTTAAACATGTCCATCCGGGCAAAGCAAACATTTCCATTGTTCTTGTCCTCTGCAACGCGCAGCAGGTTGAAGTCGCCCCCGACAACCACGGGGAGGAAGGCGGCCGAGATTTTCCGGTGGAGCTCCTCCAAGAAGGAGGCCGACCTACTATGATCGGCCGGTCCATAGACAATGATGATCTCCCACTTGAAGTTGAGCGACCTCTCGAAAAGCTCCATGCTGACGAAGAATTCGCCCCTATCCATGCTGCCCACCTCAAAGGTGGCATCCTTCACACCTAAAAGGATGCCACCCGAGTGGCCCGCGCTCCCACTAGAAGGGAGACAGTGCCACGCAAAGAGGTGAGAGCTCAGCCGGTCAAGCTCAGGGAGCGCAAAATCGCGACGCATGGTCTCTTGCACAGCCACGATGTCGATGTGCTCATCTCGCATTTATTCCACTAACTGGCGGCGGCGGCCATCATGGCCGAAGCCGCGGATGTTCCAGAAGAGGGCCCGCATTAAGGAGCCATTAGGGGGCTACTTGACCCCAGAACACAGGAAGCGCTAAGCGCACGAAGGGCCACCGTGCGGGAGCGGGTGCGTCCCTGAATCTCCGGCACGGCCACCGAGGGAGGAGGGGCCGTCGGCTGTGGCTGAGGCGGAGAGGAAGATCCCCCAGACGTAGAGGCGGCTGGGGGAACGAGGAGGGCCGCCCGGGCCTCCGCAAGTTTCCCATCGAGAACCTCACGGGCTCTGATGGCCGCGATCTGGGCGAGAGGGGGGCCAACTTCCCCTCGGAAAATGATCGCGGAGTCGGAGGCCACTTTGGCGAGATGACCCAGCGGAACAGACTCAAGCGCAGAGAAAGAACAAGACGAAGCAGAGGGGGGAATGGAGGGCGTACCTGGCTCCAGGTTACGGGCGGCAGCGCG